CAGTGACCTAAGGAAATGTTGATTTATTTGTCATTCTGGAGGAACTGCATACTAATGACTCAAAATTAAAAGATGATTTGCAAATTATGACATCTCATTCTGTGAGCTTGTCATTGTCCAGTCAACTCCTGCTTAGCATCTTATTTTTTACACATCTCTGTTAACCTCCCTTCAACTTGTTCTCCAGACTGTACCAGAGTGCGCTTTCAGACCCAAGTCCTACAGTTATCTCACACACACAGACACACACACACACACACACACACACACACACACACACACACACAGTTGAAAATGTTAATGGCTTCCCATTGCCTGTAGGGCCAAGGCAAAATTCCTGGACTTGTTGGCTAGCCCCATCAGCCCACCCAGCCTCATTTCCCTCCCCAGCTACACAAAGCTCAGATGGTTTAAATTCCCCTACCTCCCTCCACTTCAAGGGCATTTCCTACTTAACTTTCCTGATATTAACTGTGGACATTTGTTTCCTGACCTCTCTTCTGTATCCCTCTAGTATTGATCCTTGAATCTCCTGAAAACTCTTTTTTATATTTGACTATTTATACAGAAGGTCCTTGGGTTACGTCAGAAATCTGTTCCTATGGTGCGACATAATGTGATTTTTGCCATAAGCACATACACCACTCACATGGAGCACATACACAGCAGTAATGAAGTGAAACAGTAAAAAAAAAAAATTAAAAGAAAGATAACAATTCCTGACCTTTTCTTGTGGTAAATAACAAAATAAACAAACAACAACAACAACAAAAAACCATAAAGCACATATATCCATACATTGAAATGACAGAACTTTTATTTATTTATAAATACTCTAAATGGGAAGTTGCAACGTAACCATGAAATGTCATACCTCAAGTCTAACGTAACATGAGGACTGCCTGTATTTGACTATTTTCTGTCTCCTTCTATATGACCTTGAGCTTCATGAGAACAATGTCTACCTGTGTTTTTAATCACATTTGTATGCTAGGCATCTTCCATTTGGAGCTGCTCAGTAAATATTTGTTGGATGGATTAATTGATTAATTATAAATTAAGATGGCCTCATGAAACCTCCCATGAATCCCCTTAATTGCTGGGCTGAGAAAGATTGTGAACAGAAGATGAACAAGACCCTTTTGGGGAAGGGCATTTTGATAATCTCCCTCCACGACTGACTAAACACTGTCTGGCCATCAGTGAAGAGTTCTGTGGCCTGCTCTTTGAACTAACTAGCTCCCTGGATGGTCATCTGTCTGAGTTGAACAGATGCAGTCCAGTGCTCTGTGTGGATTGATCCTATTTTACATAGGCCTGATCGTGCTGTGCTGACTGTGAGAGAACAAGGTGAATTACCGCCCTGGTCCGCTTAGAGAAACGTACAGCTCTGAGGATTGCTTTATGCTCCACCAAGGCCAAGTTTGATTTAAACCCTTGGATGCTCACTGAGCTCCTCAGTCTTGAGCTTTCTTTACACCAGCTGGTATTTGTCAAGGTAAACAAGCACATGGTATCAACCATATATGAAATATGTGTGTAGTGAAACTTATGTGGTGGCCTCACTTTTATAAACTTCACTGCTGATGGAAGTGCATAAAGACCTAAAACACGAAAACAGGTCACCTCTGGTGTCAACTTACTCTCTTCATAGTGTGGCAATTTCAGAAGTGAACTTGACTTATTTTTCTTGTGTCTAGCTGGGAGGTTCATAAGGAAAATATATTTTATTCAAAAATAAGTTTCTGACCTCTTTCTTGCTCTCTCTTTTTATCATATATATCAAAGGAATTAAATTTTTGATTAAAAAAATTCTAGGTTACTTACATGTGGTTAGAAAGTGGCTTTGTAGTATAGCTTGATATCTGGTATTGTGATCCCTCCAACTGTGTTCTTTTTCTCAGAATTGCTGTAGTTATTTTGGTCTTTTTTTTATTCAATATTAATTTTTTGAGAGTTTGTTCTAGGTCTGTAAAATATGTCATTGGTATTTTAATGGGGAGTGCATTGAATCTATAGATTGCTTTGGGTAATAGGGACATTTTAATGATATTGATTCTACAAATCCATGAATATGGTGTATTCTTCCACTTCTTTATATCTTCTTCTATCTCCTTTATCAATGTCTTGTAGTTTTCTGAGTACAGGTCTTTTACCTCCCTAGTTAAATTTATTCCTATGTATCTTATTTTTTTTGTTGCAATGGTAAATGGGATTGTTTTTCTAGTTTCTAATTCTTTGAGTTGATAATTGGAGTATAAAACCCATTGATTTCTGTGTGTTAATTTTGTATCCTGCTACATTGCCAAATCATTTATTAAATTAACTCGTTTTTTGATGGAGTCTTTAGGATTTTCTATGTACAATATTATGTCATCAGTGATTAATGACAGTTTTACTTCTTTTCAAATTTGGATGCCTTTTATTTTTTCTTCTTGTCTGATCACTATGGCTAGCACTTCTAGTACTATGTCAAACAGGAGTGGTGAAAGTGGGCATCCTGTCTTGTTCATGTTCTTAGGAGAAATTGTTTTATTTTTTGGCTATTGAGTATGATGTTTGAATGTATGTTTGTCATATAAGGCTTTTATTATATTGTGGCCACACTTACAGCGTGGTCCTGTGACCTGTGGTTGGGTCCACTGGGTTGCACTGGATGATCTGTCCTGTGCCAGGTGTTGAGTGTGTACCAGCTGATGCCTCTGTCTGGGCGGGTATGGAGGGCACGCCTGGGCTGTGGCTCTGCACTGGGGTTCATGTTGGGCTGGGCAGGGGTACCCCTGGCTTGTACTCAACAGCATGAGGACTTGAAGTGCAGGATCCTAGGGCACTGGGTCTGGGCTCTGGTAAGAAGGCACAGCTCAGGAAATCCCTTTGGCTTACATTCACTGTAGACATCTGGGAATCATGGGGTGGTACTTCACTGTTCACTGTCAGGGCATGGTAGTGGTTTCACGTGAGTTATGGCTGGCAAGCAGCTCCCTGCACCAGTCTGGGTGTGGTGTCCGAGGTCAATCTGGTGATTGGTGTGACTGTGTTCCTGGCATCCTTTACTCCACTCTACAGGATGGCGTGGGCTCTGTGCCAAAGCCACCACGGTCTAGGAGTGCCCGCTGCAGTAGAAGGAGCTCACTATCTAGAAGAACCCAATCAGTCCCCGGGTCTCCTGGGTTATCTAACTCTCCCTCACTCACCACAAACACACACCACATGTCTACACATGCCCCTCTCACTCCTATACTCTGTCACACCCTCTCCTTCCCTGCCATTCTGTCAACCGCCATGTTCCCAAGCCTCAGTTTTCTCTTTGAACAAAAGGCCCACCCTTCACCTGGCTAGCTGGCCAACCTGCATCACTCTGCCAAAACCAGAGTCACGCTCCAGGTCCGTGAAATACCAGCTCATAGCCTGCATTGGCAACTCCTCCTTCGAAGGATGTAAAATGGCTTTTGTGTTTTCTGTAATCTCAGTACTCATACTTAATCTATTTTATTCTGAATCATTTCCAGTTTTTTCATATAATATTTAGGCACCATGTCTAGACACTTTAGATATATGTGTGTATTTGTGTTTAGTAAATTCTTGTTATCTGTAGATGCTATATTTGTGAATTCATCTACCTCCTAAATTTATTTTCACTCCCCAAAATCAACACTTGCCTGATGACATGTTTATATACTTCATCATGTATCTTTAAAAAAATAAGTTAAATATTTTTGAAACCTCCAAAGCATCTTCGTGAGCAGTTTGAAAGCCAGTTCTTGTTTTCCTCTATGCTAATATTATTTTCTAAGTAGATTGTATAATGCCTAGAGGTTAAGGATCTTATCTCTTTTGCTTCTGTATTTGCAAATGATCTTAGGTCAGTGCTGAATATAAAGGAGTCACTGATCATTGATAATTCCTTTAGCCCCGTGGTTGGCAAACTGCGGCTCTCGAGCCACATGCAGCTCTTTGGCCCCTTGAGTGTGGCTCTTCCACAAAATACCATAGCATGGGCAAGTCTACTTTGAAGAAGTGGTATTAGAAGAAGTTTAAGTTTAAAAAATTGGGCTCTCAAAAGAAATTTCAGTCGTTGTTCTGTTGATATTTGGCTCTGTTGACTAATGAATTTGCCAACCACTGCTTTAGCCCACAATTGTCATCCAGCTGTGGATTTAATAAGGATTTCTGCAGCATCGTGGTAAAAATCAGTGTAATGATGTTTGGTAGCATCAGGGTCTGGATGTACCTACAAAATGGATGACATTTTTTCCCCATATGATATTCTCTTGACATTTCTTTTTTCCCTTGAAAACAAGAGCCAGTGGTAAGGCTCAGATTAACACTTCTCAGCTTCCCAAAACTGCCAGGGACAAGGTTGAGTGAGGTGCTTCCAGCAGGGAGGTAAGACAAGATAATCACACTTTCTGTCTGCCTTAAGGCTGTACTATGTATCCTGAAGTGCTAGAAAAGGGACAAAGGGGTCCTTAAGAGCTGTGTCATTACTAAGACAAAGATACTCATTGGTTTCCACATAGAATTCTGATTTCTAAGAATTCACTAGCACACTGATTTTTCTCGAATATTCCCCTTAAGTTAATTAAATGGCTTTCTGTCCAATGAATTTAATAATTCTTTTTTGAGGAGCTCAGATGTTCAGAAATCAAGGAATGAAGGTTGATTTATCCATGCCCAGCATAAAGCACAGCTGAGTTCCATGGTGCGAATAGAAATGGATTAACTGCAGGACTCCACGGCTTTGTTGGTGAGGCCACTTCCCTGGCTGGGCAGAGGGTGAACGTATTCAGAGGTGGTGACCCAATGGCTTGGACCTTCCAGGATTCATTAAACAATGGTCACTAACATAAGCACACTCAGAATTTGTTTAGCAAAACAAGTCTCTACCTCAGCCACAGAAAGAATACAAAAGCAATAGGGAGATTTCATAATGTCCAACCATAGACTCGTGCTTATCTGTCAGCGGGGTTATTGCCAACAAGGATTCTCTGTTGCTCCAGGAAACGCTGTCAGAAGATGAGAGAAAACACAAAGAAGCTTTGGAAGATCTTCACATGGCAGTCGATGAAGACTCCAGGAGCGAGAGCAGCAGTGCAGACGAGGGCAAAGAGAAGACCAAACTGCTGTTGGAAAGGCTCAAAGCTCTAGAGGTAAGAAATGAGACCACTTTTACACATTTAAAGAAAAATAGTGCTCTGCTTCTTTTATTGACACTGGTTTTGAATGAGTATAAACATTCCCTTCTCAATTCTGAGTTCCCTACACTAATAGGATCCAGTCTCTCCCATTGTGATTCCTCTGTCAGTGATTAGCTGTCATCATCTGCAGACTCCTGGCCTAGTGACTGAGATTGCATTGCCTTACAAAGAGTGCACTGGACAATGATTCACTTTAGATTCGATTCAGCCTTCACACTGGATCAGGTGCCCTAATATAAAAGGAAGAGACTTTTCAATATTTCACTTCATTTACCCAATACCTAATGTAATGAATGAATGAGTGAGTGAATTAATAAGTGTCCAATACTATGTAAGGATGATTGTAAAAGAAAAAAAATTTAAGCAGAACCATTATTTCCCCCCCCCCAAAAAATATGCAGAAGTTCACTATGTAAAACATGAAAGTAGGGATGAAAAATTAGCTAATGGGTGCTTGAGGGAGGTTTTTGAACCCTGACAATCCTCCAAAACACGTTTGAAAATGCTGGGCTATTGTTTAATGGCATTTGACTTCACTTTAAGTCTTAATTCCTAAATGTGTATTGCAGTCCTCAAAGAACATTTCAGGTATCAGGTCTTGGTAGGGATTATACAGCTGAAAGGTTCAGTAAAGATGCATTTTTCTATGAGCAGGCTCATATTCTTTTAATGAGCTTTCTTTTAGCATGTAGAACTGAGACATAATTACTTTTAAGCAAAGACTATGGGTAGCCCATCTCTTCTTAAACTAGAAACAAGAGGCCTTCAGAATCCCCAAAATGTAGTTCTCCGGTTGGGTCTGCAGAATTCTGGAATCTCCAGGAAGGTGAGGAAATAAGATTGGAGACATCTTGTTTTCTATGGTTGGTTCCTGAAATCTTGTCTTGAATCCATCACATATTCTACAGTGGGCATCCTGCTCTCTTCACTCCAATTTCCTCGGCAATTGTAAAGCAAAATTGTTAAGAGTATGGACTTTGGAACCAGATTCCCAGGGTTTGGTTTGAATTCCAGTTGTACTACTTTCTAGTTTTGAAACCTTGGGCAAGTTAACTAGGCTGTCTGTGCCTCTGTTTCTTCAAATGCAAAAATGGGGCTAATAGAAACTTACTTACAGGGAAATAATGAGGATGCGATGACTTAATATTTGCACAGCTGTGCCTGGCATAGGGGCTCTTCTGTCCACCTACTTCAAGCTGCCTGCCATTCCTTAACTCATTTTTTCCTATTCATCTGACACAATGATCAATTAAACAACTATGAATGGAAAACTTCAGCCAGGTAGGTAGGTCAAGCAAATGGTATCACACACGGCAGAAGAGAGGGCAGCTTAAGGAACCTCGGCCGCTCTCCTTGGGCAAACGGCCAGGAATCACTCCTTTCTCCCCAAAGGTTCCCATACTTTTTTTCATTTTTAAGATAGTTGCTGTGAACAGTGGGAAAACCTTCTCAAGGACTACTGAGGTTCTGTCTGAGAGTTTAGGGAAACTTAGAGCTTTGTCTTCAGGATGACTTCACTCGATTGAACAATGGGGTGATTGGATATTACAAGTTTACTTCCCTAGAACCACCTACTTAAATGGGTAGTTTTACTTACGATTACAGTAAAAAGCGATCCTCATCTACCTATTAGTCACTGAAAAGACTTTGTGAATAACATCAAGAACTATTTAAAAAATTAATTTCTGGTGATGCATATTTCCTAAGCCCATGCTGAGTAAAACAGAAGCAGTATTTTTTTGTACTTTCACAGAGATCTTTATACTTCAGGCAACAGTGCTTACATCCAGCATTAGTTGGATGTAATGTATGATATTTCTAAGTGCCATTAAGCCCCACAATTTTAATTCACAAATCTATTTTATTTTCTAAGTTAATTTCCTCCCGGCAGAGTGTTACCGCTTGTTTTCTAAAATGCTTTGCTCAATCTTTTTGTTGTTGTTTCTTTCTTTTTTTTTTTTTTTTACATCAAGCAACCTACATGGCTACCTTTTCGCTTTGTTCCATCTTAAGTATATTCTCTCCGAGCTCCCAAATATCTTACTGTTGTCTATTTGAACAACTCGTAAAAAGAGATCTTCATTAAATATATGCAATATATGTATACACACACACATATAATCACACACATATATATATCTCATCCAATTTTTATATGAATTTCATATTACTTTATTTTTAAAAAATTAACTGTATGTGCTTTCTGTATAATGATTTGCAATGATTGTGTGAAAATAGTGTTCATTCTGGCAGACCACATTCAGGTCCAGCCACAGAGACCCACACAGATTTATGCACTTCAACAAAGGGTTACTCTGGAAGATTGCAGGGACAATAAATAGAATTCTTCAAAATTCCTTGGGAAAATTATGATGTTATACAGCAAGATTTTAGACAACCAAAAATATACTTGTCATTGGTGTGTTTTTGAAACAACCATCTATGTGTGCTCTGACCTCTTGGGCCTCTATCGTGGCAGGAGGCACAGAGGAATGGTCTTCTGAGCGATAGGGAGCAGCCCACCTTAATTCCTGCTCCCCAAACAGGTCTCAAGAAGGTGAAAAAGCAGAGGAGATGCTGCGTTAACTTCTAATAATACCATATTCTTGATTAATATCAGGAAAATATTTTAAAACAACCAAAGTTGAGGAGCCTCTGTCTTCGAGAATTAACTAAATTTATCCAAGCAAAGCATCCCCCACTGAGGAAAGTGTAGTGGCACCCCTGCTCCAGAATGTTCTTTCTCGTGGGCCTTCCTGGGGCTGAATTCCTACTTGCACTCTAAATCCTTCTTTCTTATTCCCAGCCTCATGTAAAACAAAGCCCTCTTTACTCATTTTTTTCCCCACCCAAATGCAATCCCTCAAAGGATAGGTGATCCTGGAAGAATATTCGAAAGGCTAAGGGCTTTGAACTTTGTCTTTAGATGGCTCTGTTTTCCCTAAGTCCTTTGGGGCAGGACATTTCATGCTTGCCCTTCTCAGTCCCCAGCCTTTTACCCTAAAGCACAGCTAGCTCTTTCCCACTTGTTCTCTCTCTCTCTCAGCAAGTTCCCCATCATTTACTGAGCAGAGATTTTTGGGTTCCTGTATTCTACTCACGGTGTCATTCCATTCCACTCACAGAGCTCACCAAAGTATTTGCTAAAGAAGACATTTACCTCCCAAAAAAGAACTCTAGGGCCAGCAGTCAAAATAATATTAATAAAACACACATGCACACATATTTTTTTTCCTCTTCATAGCAGTTGTTTTCTCTACTCAGTGTCTTGGTTTCAGTAATTTTCAGTTGTTCGTAAAGAAGAGAAGGCCACTTACTCTCACCTCCCAGCAACGACTTCTCCAGGGACTAAATTATATTAGTTTAGGATCCTGATATCTGGTGGAGAAACCATTTGGTGTGTTTATATTTCTGCCATAAGGGACCCAATGGGTGATACGGATGCCACTTGAACTCATTTTCTATAATTTTTTAAGCATTAGGTTCTTTTTTTAAATTTATTTAGAGTGTCAGTCTGCTATTTCAGAGACTTTACTCATAATAAAGCTCATCATTTTTAACATGCTGCAGGTCGCATCTATCAAAGACCCTTTCACCTTTGACCTCATCCCACAAGGGTCTTTCAGATTTGACCTCCACAATGGAATGACTTAACCTTGTGCCTTCTCAGCTCTCGATTCCTGGGCTTGGGCTTCAGGCCAGAATGCTCACGGCATGTCCCTTGAAATATAGAATTTGTTGTCTCCAGGTCCCTTTCCTGAATCTCTCTCAGACCTTTCTCCCTACTCATTGACCAGCTTTATACCTGAGTAGAAATCAAGATGAAATTCTCTTACCTCACTCTCAACTCCAATGGCATCTCTGGTTCCTAGACTCTTGCCAAGGGGAAGAAGAGGCCTAAGACCACCTGGGACTTCTCAGCCTCCAGGTAGATGCTGATGTTTTGGATACAGCCTCAGGTCAGAAGAACTTGGCTTCTTATAGGGAAACACCTATTTTGTGCAGAAAAATATGGTCATTAGATGTGCTAAAGTAAATAAGAGCATTTTCTACCCAATTTCACCTTCCCATGAAAGTATAACAATTAAAATGCTAAGTGTAAGCATTTCTGTTAATCAGTAATTACTGTTTAGAATGAGGTATCTTAAAATAGTAATTCTCAAACCTGGCTGCACATCACAATGACATGATGAGTTTGTAGTTGATAGATATTTATTTAATACCTTCTATGGGATAAACACTGTTAGGCATTAGTATTAGAACTCCAACCCCAGTGTACAGAGTCAACATACATATTTAATAAAATAATAAATAATAAAACAAGGAAAATAGATAATTAATTGCCTCTGAATATGAAAAATTAGCTGATATAGTAACAGGAGAGTGGGGATGGAAACGAGAGATATTTACCTCCAATGACCTCTGATACTGGGCCAGTTGAGTACAATCTACACTTATAAAAGAGAAACATGCAAATTGACCATCCCTCCACTACACCCACCAGTCAGTCAGAGTGAGTATGCAAATTAACCCAACAAAGATGGTGGTTAATTTGCATATGCATGCACAGAGCAAAAACTGAAGACAGTGTAGAAGGAAGCCAAGTGCTGAAGAAGGGAGTGAAGCTGCAGAGAAGCTAGCGAGGTGGCAGAGATAGGAGGGAAGCAAGCCCCAGAAACTTTGAGTAACTTGCTCAAGGTTACATAGTAAATAAGAGAATCAGGATCTGAACTCCAGTTGTATGGTTAAGCTATGCATTGCTGGTAAGAAATGGTCAAGTAAGAATACATTTTAGAAGTGAGGCCTGGAATTATTGATGGATTGGATGTGGAATATAATAAAAAGTGAGAAATCAGGGGTGACTTCTAATTTTTGTCTTAGCAATTATGTGGGGTTGTACCAAATTTCTGAGGGAGGCTAGGCTTTGAAGAGAGGTGTCTTGCAGAAAGGAA